TCCATTGTAGTGAGCGCTGTAACAGAAGTGACGAAGGAACAGACCACAATAGGAACCAGCGGAGCAACAACTCCACTCGAAGAGGCCAGTGGAGAAGAACCTCTCGACAAAAATGCACTTCCTGAAGTGCAAGCAAGCAAGGACGCAAGCCCAACTGCCATTACTGCTGGAGAAACATTGCCAGAAACAACGTCTACTTCACGTACTATCTCCTCCTCCACACCATCATCATCCGCGCCGACAGAAGCCGGTACAGAGTCGGTTGAAAGCAGCAATTTGCCTAAGGTTGAGGCGAATATAGAAGCGAGCACAATCGTTCCGGGATCGACGTTTCCTGTTGTTGTGGTAATGCCAGAATCATCAGTAGCTACATTAGAATCTGATCAATCCACAACATCTCCTTCGAAGTCACCCACCACTGGCTCTGGTGAAGTTTCCCCAACAACGGTCAGCGGTCAAGAAGAAGTGCCAGAATCTAGTACCCCACATGAAACAACATCAGAGAAACCCGAAGGAATAAGTGGTCTACCTGAAGAAGCTAGCGGAGAGGAGCCACTAAAAAATAAGAAGCTACCTGAAGTAGAAGCCAATTTGGATGAGAGTAGCACCACTGCGAAAATGGTAGAGGGGATAGTGCCGGTGATTATTGTAGGCGTTCCAACAGGTGAAACTACAACAACGCCTAGAGGTGAAGCTTCTACGACATCATCCATGCTGTCTTCCAGTCTTACAAGTGTAGAAGGCAGTTCCAGCACTGTCTCTCCCTCTTCAGTAGCTGTTGGAACAGCTGGAGAGACAACGACACAGTTGGAAGCGAGCGGGGAAGAACAAGCTGGTAGCAGTAAACTGCCAATCGTGGAAGCTAATATAGACGAAAGCGCAAGTACAGTTTCATCATCTACCATCCATGCTGATGGAGCGCAGGAGGTAACGGGAAAAGGGTCAAGCGAAATCCCTAAAACGTCTGCCGAAGAAAGTACGGCTACTACTGTCTCTCCTGATTCCGAAAGTACAGGAACTGCAGCTAGTACTGTGTCCGAAAGCACCACGGTAGTGTCCAATCAGGGCGGAGTTACATCATCATTGGGAAATGAACAGGCGACTGCAGAAGGAAAAGAATTCACAACGCCATCTTCCCAAGAGATTGCGACAAGCACAACAGTGGAAGGTAGCGGAGAATTACCGAGTGAAAGCAGAAAACTACCTAAAGTGGAGGCGAGCAATGACGAGAACGTGAGCACGTTACTCGCTACAACCGAAGAAGTTACGGAAGGCCCAGCTGTGACAGATAAAGGGATAACACCTCTTATGGGCTTCCCTCATCATCTTGTGGGTCCAAATGTAACTGTTTCCTCTCGTCCTGAAAGTAGTGTGACGGAATCAGTGGCTTCGGGCGAAAGCACAAGCACATCCTCATCGTCGACCAGTTCCGCTGAGAATGTAGAAGAAATTTTTGTTCCAACAGCAGAAAGTCTCTCTAGCACAGTGTCCACAGTAACAAGTGAATCTTCCTCGCCAACACCACCTTCCTCTACTCTTAGTAAAGAAGAAGCTGAAACCACTAGTATGATTTCACAAGAAGGCACTTCAACAACATTAGGAGGAGATCAGACGATTTCACCGAAGGAGGAAACTGCAACATCATCATCCAAAGTAGATGAAACGACTTTGGCAGTAGAGGGTAGCGGAGAAGGAGCTATAGAAAGCAATAAGTTGCCTAGGATCGAAGCGAGCTTAGACGCAAGTACCTCAGCCGTTTCGGCCGATAAAACCACAGAGGGCCCCGCTGTTACTTCAGATAGAGGGCTGACGCCTCTTCTGGTTCTTCCTCACCATCCTTTGGGTTCAACAACTGTTTCTTCTCAGTCTTCCAGCACCGTG